GTGAGTTTGTGTCGTGTACGATAAAACTGCAACCATAAAACTTTGACCTGGTCCATCAAATTCGAGGACTGGTCCGTAATTCAAGCAGAATATTAAGGTCTCACGAGTAAATATAATTTTTTTTCCCGCCTTTGGTTTATCACAGGCCGCAAAACGACAACATGCTGCCCTTGCCTGCATCACATACGGCAAGTGCGTATCACGTGCAGGATCTGTCTTCGCCCGTACCAGTTGGTTTTTTCGGAACTGCAAGCATTCAAAGTAGGAAACACGTCGCTAACTTTAAGAAAGCCCGATTTTTCACGCTCCAGAGAGCACGTGAGTTATAAATAGGGCTAACGTGTCGTATCTACCTATGGCATCATCTATAATAGTCGGCAACATCCGATTCTTTCTACTTTTTCATATTGGTCCTTTTAATTCTGTAACATTATGTTTTAGGAAAGTAAGTTTTATAGAATGACACCACTGCCCCTTCACATTTCACATGATTAATGCGAAGTTATTCCGTGGAGTCAATGAAAAAAATGATAAAAAATTAAAATTTGGTACTGATCAATTGAAAAACTGTCAAATCAATCGCATAAAAGTTTAAAATGAATAATTTCCATTTTGCAGTCATGTCCAATAAATAAATATTTTTAACATCTTTTTCATGGGGCTAATGAGCCCACGATTATTTGGACATTCAAAAAAATCATTTAAATTCTGTTTTTTTTTCTATCTAAATACTTTCATTTTATATTAAAAATAAAACTAATTTTTTTAAGAACAAAAACCATAAAATTTAGCTTTATAAGTGTGATTTTACAATTAAAATCCAATATATTGATTAACAAAATTAAATAAAGACTAATTAGTTTATAGTTTAAATTCTTTTTATTATTGCGATTTAGAAATATTCTGATACATGTATCGATTGTATCTATGAGATTTAATATATATAGTATGTATTTAGAATTTATAAATAACAATATTTTACGTCATTTAATAGACATACAGACGAGTTAATTAATCACTGAAAAAAAATCCGAGGTATAAATGTTTAAATGTTCAATTTATTAAAAGCCGGTGTAAGTAAATATGAAAAACAACAAAAGAATGCAGCAATAAAAGATTTTTCCAAGAATTACCAAATATCGACAAGTTTAATTAGCACGGCTAGAGAGGATATTACAATGAAGAGCAATAAGAGAATTTGCAAAAATTCTGGTGCATATTTATAGATAATTTCGTTCTTAATGTTGACCATTGCAAATTTGCAACTACAGCAGAAAAAGACAAACATTTACTTTCACAGCAGTTGACAAATTGTGAGGACTAATTAGCACATTGAAATTTATTTATTTTTGGTCAGTCAATAATATTATAGCACTTAGACTTTATTAATTGCAAGCAAAAATAATAAAGCCGTAGGATAGACATCAAGGGATTTAAGAGCCAGAAAGAGACACATTTCATTGTGCAATTTAATAACTATTTTAATTATCAGGGTAAATGGACAAACCTCTCCTCATTTTTAGCTTATTTAAAAATCAATTTTGAAAATTTTAATTTTGAATTTGATTTTTTATATTTTTTTATATTTAATTCATATGATGATTTCCGTCATCGTTTTTTCTTTTAAAACATTCACCTGTTGACATCTTAAACCAACATTTTGCACGCACATGAAAAAAATTCAATTAATTTTCTGAAAAAATCTCATCATTTTCCAAGATCGGAAACTACATATATATGATACCATAGAATGTAGTGGATACGTAGAATACACTGGTCTTTTTTCGGGAAACAAATGATTTAAATCCTGTACCTCTCAGGCTATGAGTTTAATTGGCTGTAAGGCACCAGCAAAATAAAGAACATCAAGGCCCAAAGAGTGGAATGTGAAGTCCAGCAGAATTCAATTTTTGGGCCTTTAATTACTGCATGCCTCTGTACTGGCTTTGCATCCCATTGCAAGGGAATTTCTGACAAATGAAATGCAAATGCAACCAGCAAAACTTTCCCGAGACTATTATATGGTTTGAAGGTAATAATCAATCGATAGAGAATTAAATGTCACAGAGAAGTTAGTCTTTCTAGAAATTTCAAGTTCTTGCCTTGACATCACAGACAAGAAAAGGGGAGATTTTGAATTATGAAAAGTAGATTCCAACCCCACTTTTTTACCAGATTGAGGCACCCTTCCTTTTGTCCTACTTGTCCGGACAGCGAAAAAAGGCATTACCAATTATTTTGTATTATATTATAATTAACTTGTCCCGTCCATCATCCAGTGGCTGTAGTTTAGTGGTGAGAATTCCACGTTGTGGCCGTGGAGACCTGGGCTCGAATCCCAGCAGCCACATATTTTTTCCCTCGTAAGAAAACCCTAAGCGAGTGATTAAATGATGCTGGAATCGGAATAGAATCATTCCCAAAATTTTAATATTGAACGAACGAAAATCTGACACGAGTAATGCTCCTTAGCATGAACATGGAGGTATGTTTTGGCCCATACTCGAGCCATCATTTTCTTGCTTTCTTTCACTTTCTAGAATATCAACATGTACAGTCGGTAGGTCCTTGTTATCCTTTCATTCGGTCTGCCAGACAGCAAGTTGCAAGTTTAACAATAAACTTACAGTGACATTTGGTTGCTAAAAATAAAGGCTTTGGAATAAAAGTACAAGAATTCTAAAGAAAGCTAGGAAATTAAATTGATATTGTTATTTCAATATTATATTTAGAATAATAATAATAAATCATAATAAAATTTTAATTTTAATTTTTAAGATGAATAAGAATACATTAGTAAAAACGATCAAGGCGATCACGTTGATTGTGATCGATCAAAAAAATAATATGACAGTGACAATAATAGTAATATAACAATAAAAATTGTATATTTTTAAAAAAACTAATGCCACAATTCTAAAAGACGGTAATAAAAGAAGATTGATGGTAGAAGTAATATAATAAAAATAAATATGATGATAGATGAGAAATGATAGCAAAATAATAATAATAATAATTTTTATTATTTTTTTTATTACTCGTTGCAAATAACAAATACCGTGTGGTAGTGTCGGTGATAAAAATGATGATAATCATGAAAGTGTTTGATACATAATAAATAAATAAAATATATTATTATTTAAAAAAAAATCTCATTTTAGTTATTTATTTTTATTCTCTTCTCCTTTTATGAAAATGAAACTCTCTCTCTCTCTCTCTATTTTTTTCTTCCTTCATTTATTTTAACCAATTACTTAAGAATAGGAATAAAATTTCATTCTGGTTCTCATTTTTATTATTCTATTTTTTATTACAAAACAACACATAAAAAGTTTTTTTAAAAAATCTTGGGTAATAAATATAATTCATTGTATCCATGGTGGGCATGGTGATGTTTAAAGGAACTACCATTTATATAAAAACCTATTCAATTAATATATAATTAATATGCATGGATTGATAGACTTTGAGGACCGAAAATGACTCCACTCTTCTCTCCTGACAATCCGTGGAAAGAAACGATAGTCATTTGCAAGAAAGGAATACAAAGAGGAAAAGATGAAGAAATGAATATCTAATTTTCTATACATACATCTATATATATGTATACAGATAACCTATATATATCTATAAACCTATATGAACATATATACATGTATATATAGGTCTCTCTTACATAAAATTGAAAACACGAGACAGGCTTTTCTGACGAAAACATATTCCTTTCTTCCTTCCATTGCCCCTCTTTCTCTTTGCATATTCTCTCCTTTTCCTCTATAATGTAGACGACGAGCAAGGTATATACCATGCTTTCATCAATACGTATATACCAATTTAAGCTTTATGTTGCTTTTCTGAATTTTCACAAATATACTTTAACAGACCTGAATTAGAATTCAAACTCAAGCAATTGACCGCCAGTCTCAAAAAGAAAAGTAGTAGTAATCTAATCAAATATGCTGCTAAACAGACCAACAAAAAAGGAAAGTTTAGTTAGAAATAGCCAGGTACACAATTCCCATCCATTCATGGTAGTTCAATTCAGTGGGCCATCAAGCTTAGCTATTACCCACACCAGTACATGCTAGAGTTTTCTTTTTCGGTCAGAACAACTACTCTTGCACTATTAATGGTGGATGAATATTCATTAGCCTATTTTAACGGGCTATAGGAAGCTTCTTCTTCCCTCACAATTCGATAGTTTAGTCTTACCTCATTCTTTGCATCACGCTGTCTAAAGATCCAGTTGAAAAGTTACAAACCTTTTGGTTTATTCAAATACTTTTCAAGAATATCCCATGTGCACCTCTCACCTGTATCAGTCAATCGCCTGATAAAACCAAAATAAATAAATTTGTTTTTTTTTTTCCTTTGGACATGAATAAATAAAATTCTTGGCATTGAAGGATTAGTTATCTAACATACAATAAAAGCAATAAAAAGGATACTTAATAATAAAATGCAAGCTTGTCTTCACATCATACCTTACACAGACAGCTAATTACGACCATTGGGAATGTTAATTCAAGTGCCCACAATCTTCATTATAAATGTTTCATAGTTCTTTATCTTCTTTTTAGGTCTATCTTTGGATATTTTTTTCTTGGCAAAAACTCGAGAGATATTTTGGGATCTGGGTTTTTGTGATTTTTGTCAAGTTCATTCGAAAAAACCCAGAAACATTCTCTGATTTGCCTCTTGACGATACTGCAGTGATTTTTGGATTTTTGTTACTTGGTTTTAGTTGTGTTTATGTGTGCTATTTGTTAACATTAAAAGACTTGGTCTTTGCTGTGCTTGTGTCTGTTATTTGGTCACTTTTAAGTGACTCTCAGTCTTCTTTTCTTGTTTGTTCTTCTTTTGTTGACTATCTGTCCCTCTCTAGATCATGTCCTAATAGCATTGTCTAGATCATTTCATTGCAAAGCCAGAAACTTTTTGTTAGTTCTGTTTCTGGGTTTTGCTTGTTTTGTATCGTTTCTTGATTGGTTGATTGATTAATGGGTCATTCTTTGCTTTCTATTCTTTGCCTTTTAGTATCTCTCTTTGCCTATTCTTGTTTATGCTCTCCACTTGAAAATAAAGAAAGAGACAAAATCACATATTTACCAGGGCAGCCAGGGAATGTAGAGTTCAATCAGTACTCAGGTTATGTTACCGTGAACCAACAAGCTGGGAGGGCATTGTTTTACTGGTTGGTCGAGGCACCGAAAAGTCGGGTACCTGAGTCAAGACCACTTGTTTTATGGCTAAATGGAGGCCCTGGTTGCTCCTCTGTTGCTTATGGAGCAGCTGAGGAAATTGGGCCTTTCCGCATTAGGCCTGATGGAAAAACTCTTTATTCCAATCCTTATGCTTGGAATAAGAGTATGTGTCGATAATTTATACAATGCACTTTCTGTTTTGTGCTTTAACTAGTTCTCTTTGTAGTTTATCTTATATCTTTTTGGCTGTTGGTGGTGTTGGCAGTGGCAAATCTGCTGTTCCTGGAATCTCCAGCTGGTGTTGGTTTTTCATATTCAAATACATCATCGGATTTGTACACGTCTGGTGACCAGAGAACTGGTAATTGTTTTATTTGTTCGATTTGAGTACTCCAGTAGTCTTTCAGTAAAGCCTTTTGCTTTATTATTGTAGTGTGTAAATGGTAGTTGATTCAATGTGATTATATGCCTTTTTAGCTTAAAGTTATTGATTTTGACTTCTTCGAATGCTTTTGGAAACTGGGTGCTGTACACTTGTAGCTGAAGATGCTTACATATTTCTAGTCAATTGGGTTGAAAGGTTTCCACAGTACAAATACAGAGATTTCTACATTGCTGGAGAAAGCTATGCAGGTTTTGAATGGCATACCTTCTTGTCCTTTTGTTTTTAACTCTCTCCGTAACTTGTTCATCTTAAGGAATGCACACTGTTTACTTGCTTGAAATTCGGTTTCAGGTCACTATGTACCTCAGTTGTCTCAAATTGTTTATCAAAAGAACAAGGGAATTAAGAAACCTGTAATTAACTTCAAGGGATTTTTGGTGAGAACACATAACTCATTATTCATAAAAATTGAAAATTGTGTCAACTTCCACTGCTTAATGGCAAGTATATAATTGAGTCAATGTCTTTTTCTCTATTTTAGGTGGGAAATGCAGTCACTGATGATTATCATGATTATGTTGGCACCTTTGAGTACTGGTGGACCCATGGTTTAATTTCTGATTCTACCTATAGAACTTTACGCGTCACCTGTGATTTTGGATCCGCTACTCACCCATCAGTAGAATGCACTAAGGCGCTCAGGCTTGCAGAGTTGGAGCAAGGGAACATTGATCCATACAGTATTTTCACACATCCTTGCAACAATACTGCAGCATTGAGGCACAACCTAAGGGGTCACTATGTAAGCGCTTATCACGTCCTTTTCTGTCTATCAACATTATCAAGGACTTCTGCACTTTCAGCAGAAAAATATCTGCAATACAAGTTAGACTAGGAACCTGATGCATAACCATTAAAAGTTGATTCTCTGCATCTAGCACAATATTTCTTACATGAAAAAGGCTATTATGCTTTCATTTGCTTACAGCATTTTTTTTTTTTTGACACTCAAGTGGTTTTTGGCACCAGCCTCTAAGTCTTGGATTTGACTGGGAAAATATCTTGAACAAGCCTGACCTTTAATCATGATGTTTAAATTCTAAGATTCTACCATCAATAGCTTGAATAGACCTTGGAAGATAACAACTTTTCTTAGACTGGAAACGGCACTTGCAAGTTTCCAGGATATTTTCACCGTGCCTGAAAAAGAATATGCCAATTTTCAAAATATTTACATTTAAAGAAGGTTATCCACCTAGTTCTGATTTGCAAATACATTATTTTTTTTGTTGTTAAAAAACTATGCATGCTTTTTCGCTGCTCAAAAAACTGACAACTTTCTTACAGTGATTTGGTTCCAAATAGCTAAGTTGTGGGCTCATCTTGGTTACTGAAGCTGGTTGTTGAATATTAGCTCTAAGTTTCTGACATACATCAAGTTTGTGGTTGTTGGACCATAAATTCTGGTACTTGTGTCAGGTGTTGCTGTTTCCGACCATGACTTCTTCTAACTTTGTACCAAAATTTCTTGACCTTTCAACACACAAATTTGATTCTTATCTTTTCCTTTTAGATGCTAGATCCTAATCTCTAAGATTATGTTTTCTACAGTTTCTAAAAGCTTCCACAACAGTGAGTGTCACCTAAATGATGAAATGTGTTTCTTACTTGCACGACTGATTTTCCTTCTGATTTCTGTTTGTTTTCTATTCCTGAATTATCTTTGATTAATGTTAGGTAAAAAGTCTTACGCCAACTAATTCCTGAATGTAAATACCGTTCATTGTTGGATGAGTTAACTAGAGATGCCCTACAGTAATGCGTTCACTGTGTCCATACTTGTTTCTTATTTATTACTTAATCTGGTATTTAAATAGTTACCCCAATCTCACTCTATCACTTTGAAACTCAGCCATGGATGTCCAGAGCATATGATCCCTGCACAGAAAGGTATTCTAAAGTGTACTTCAATCAACCTGAAGTCCAGAAGGCACTCCATGCAAATGTAACTGGGATTCCTTACCAATGGGAAACTTGCAGGTAAGATTTTTGCTCTGCATTTCTTGAGAATTCTGTTATATATTTTCCAATAACACTGTTAGCTGAATTATTACTTCACAGTGATATTGTTGGAGACTACTGGGCAGATTCTCCACTTTCCATGCTTCCTATATATAAAGAACTCATTGCTGCTGGTCTGAAGATATGGGTCTACAGGTAAGTTTCCACCTTTGCCATTTTCCCTCTATTACCTTCGTTCTGGATTAAATTAGGGAAATCTGTTTAGCTGTTTGAAGATCTCATGCAATGGTGGTTCTGGTAAGAATATTGGTAGAATTGGTTATGTATGAACTTTTTTTCAACACTTGTAGTGAGGGGGCGATCTGAGTTTCTTACCAGAAACAGTTGTTTGAAGGTTTTACTGCGTTATAGCCTATTAAGGAACGGTGTGAAGTCATTTATTTTAGAATTCATGGTCAAATTGATCAGTGTTTACCAAAATGGGTCTACGAAATAAAGTTGATTGACAGTACTCATTGTCCTTTGTTTGGAATATTGTTGGGCCTGCAAATATATAAGGCATCATTAATTTAAAATATAATCCTCAAATTTGGTATATCAGAGGAGAGATTAGGTTAATGGCCTATTTGGTGTTTGAAATTATTGAGAGGTTAAATCCCAGTCCTCTTAATTTGGGGTGCAGCAAATGTTTAGGGCTCCCAATACCCCATTTCTGCTTTTACTTTATGTTTGAAATTAATGATACAAACTTATTAGCATTTTTGTGTTTTATAATTTGTTGGCTTATATATGTGAATCTTCTTTCTGATTCAGAGTTGTTTCCAGATGTCTTTGTTTCTGAACATCTCAAGGAAGATGTTGAGACAGACAAAGTGGAACAAAACAAAAGGACTTGTTGAGCTGATTCCAACTAATTTGAATTGATCTGTTTTCATGCTATTTGGATTTAGTGGTCTGTTTTTGTGGAATACTTGAGTTTAATCTTTGTTTGCAACTAACTATGGGCTAAGTTGGTTGGTAAAGAGGCTAGAGGTTTGTTGAATGGTATTTCACCTGCATATGGTAGCTGGGAACTGGGAAGTTGGAACAAAATGATTTCTTTTGAACTGCTGATTTGTTGGCCAACTAATCTCAATGTCTGGATAGGGAAGATTGTCTGCAATTGGTAGTTTTGATAAAGATTGATGACTTTGGATTTATTTAAAGTAGATGAGACATATTACGTGGCCTAGCACCAATAATTGCACTGGTCCAGATGCTTCTTTTGTTAGGTGGAAGTGTATGAACCATGTGTACTTGTCTGAGAAGAGTTACCAAAGTCAACACGAAGGGAGCATCTGAAACTAAGTGTAAATGGGATAGACAGAATTTATAGGAAAACAGCCTGCTTAATGATGAGGAAAAACAATGACTATTTGTAAATAACGGAATAGATGATCTTTTTGGATGGTCAACTCTAAGAATTCACTTTGGTGATGTAAAATATTCTCATGCTTTTTTAGCAGCAATGGCATGCATGCCTTGCGATGTCAAAATTTGAAAAAAGGTTGCACGTTATTGTTTTCAATCAGAATTTGTCCATTTTTTTCTGGCCAGCACTAGGACTTTTTGCCTTCTATTGTTTTTGGTCTCATTATGCATTGCATCTAATTCTGTTTGATCTCTTTGACCAGTGGAGATACTGATGCAGTAGTTCCTGTGACTGCTACTCGATACTCCATTGATGCCCTAAAGCTACCAACTATTATCAATTGGTATCCATGGTATGACAATGGAAAGGTAAGTATCTATCTATACAGAGAACTAATTATTACAACCAGTTTATTTTGGTGTAACCATTGGACTGAATGGTTGGGGATTTAGCATCCTTTTCTCGTGATGTTCTTATAAACTTATGTTGATATATATGACGATATCCAATAGTGAAAAGGGGTGGTATAATATTCTTACTGAAGTCCATGGTTGGACCAAGGCCATGGTAATTTGCTGATCTCCAAGCTTTTCTTGTTTCTGTTTTAGGTTGGTGGGTGGAGCCAAGTATACAAGGGGCTAACTTTTGTAACAGTAACCGGAGCAGGGCACGAGGTTCCACTCCATCGCCCTCGACAAGCGTTTATTCTTTTCAGGTCTTTTTTGGAGAGCAAGTCCATGCCTGCCCGAAGCTTTTAGTCTTCTATTCGTTAATCCCTGGCAAATAAACAAGTCTTAGGTAATAGAATTGTTCATATACAGGGACCAGTAAATGACAGAATAAGAGAAGCATTCCTCTCGAGTGCCCCTCCATTCTTCCCTTAAGTGCACCATTTCTGTATTTCAAGTTGTAGCATATTCATATTTAAGAAAAATATTATTCTTTATTGTAACTCAATTATTTAAACTGAAAGTTTAGTCTATAGAATTCTACTCATTGGTGGAAATTTATACATAATGGAGTTAAATGTTTGTCCCCAAGTATTGCTTTACCTTGGTTCGAGTAGCAATTTTCGGAAACTTCACCTCCAAACCTAGTAGAAAAACTAAGAACTAACACCATGGGGTGCAACGATTTCTACCTTCTCTTGAAGGGTTTTCTGTGGCCTGATATGGATCAAGTGAAGGAGAGGAGAGAGATTTGTAGATTGTAGTAACTCATACCTGATCTTATAAGGACGCGATTATTTAATTCCAAAATTTCGTGAAAATGTTCTCATAAATGCGTCATTCCGAATATCCATAGAAATATTGTAATCATAAAACATAAAATAAACTAGCAAAAATATCATTATTACTATCAATTAGAAGGGTTTTTGAATGAAGGGCTCGTGCCTCAATTAACCAAATTTAGGGCGGATGTACTGCTAGTTCTGTGATCTTCCAATCCAAGAAACAGTGTAACACCCTGAAGTCCAGAATCCTAGGAGGCAGGGAGGAACAGTGGGCTCTAGGAGGACCATGTAACCCACGTGGATGTTGTTTATTGGGGAATACACAGGCGCCATCGATGCCATCAAAAGAAGTCGACGGTCCATAATACCTGGACACGAGATCCTGATCCAGCTCGTTGCAATATTTGCAAGTCTCTTGTTCGACTGTTGACACCTCATGTAAGTAGCCAAAACATGGCTCAAACTGTTGCACGACATGTTCATTTTGATCCTCTCTCTTGTTGGGTAAACGTCTCATGACTCTACCATGGAGATGTCCTGAAATTTCAATCTCGACATACATAGATTGTAATGATGAATCCAAAATTTGTGGTAGTTTACTTGTCTTTGCTTTTCAGCACTAAGAAGGAAAAAGAACTCTAAAAGAACATTTGTTGATAACTTTTCAAGGTGGATAAAATTGCTTAACGGTTTTGGATTAAAAAAGAAAAAAGAATGTGGATGATGAAGTCATTGCGTAATAGGAATACAAGCTACCAAGTACCAACCCAAAAAAAAATTGACCACCAGATCTTGCGTGCATGCAATTCAACAAAAGGAAGTGCCACGTACAGTGCATGATGCATGAAAGAGGTCAAGAAATAATAAGATATACAAACTACTGACCTTGCAGCCTGTACAGTTTTTTCAAAATTACACATGCTTTAATTATACTCTTAGACAACCTAAAAGCAGGGGTTAAAGTCAATTGGTCACGAACTAATTAACAACTAATTTAAACACTTCTTAAAGGACTCCCAACCCACTCATTCAAGACAACCAAAGCCTGACATTTCACTTGTGACAATGCACATTAAGACCTCTTCTTGCTCTCTCCTCTATGTCTTAAATTTTGCTACTCTCTTGCTTTCTACGATTGCTGTCACCAACCATGGCCACCTTGAAGAGCAAAGGAGGGATAAGATTATCAAGCTACCAGGGCAACCACCAAATGTGAGCTTCTCTCAATTCTCTGGCTACATTACTGTGGACCCATTGGCAGGTCGGGCCCTCTTTTATTGGTTGATCGAGGCCCCCAAGATAGTCAAGCCCGAAACAAAGCCACTGGTTTTATGGCTCAATGGCGGGCCTGGTTGCTCATCCGTAGCCTATGGAGCTTCAGAGGAGGTCGGCCCATTTCGGGTCAGACCCGATGGCAAGACCCTCCATTTGAATCCGTATGCCTGGAATAGAGGTAAACATGCTTAAGATGATCATCTAATAATCTCTATGGTTAATGACTTAATGGTTGATCTAAACAGTTCTTTGTTTTTCATTACAATCAGTCAGTCATCAAGGTCACATTTGTATTTTAGATGGGGCCTTTCATAATGATGGGGTCTGTATTAAATTGCATGTTGATTCATAAGTACTGTTTCATCTACTTCGGTGCAAGTACTGTGATGCTTTGACCAACATGATGTTGCTACAAATTAAAGAACAAAATATTATAGAGTTTTGTTTTTTGCAGTGGCAAATTTGCTGTTTCTTGATTCTCCTGCTGGTGTGGGATTTTCGTATTCAAATACTTCTTCAGATACATACACGGTTGGTGACAGGAGGACAGGTATTTGTACAAGTATATGGTAATTTTGTTATGTTTTGTCAAAACGTTTGTTAGCCTACCCTAACTACATTATTGTTGATGAATCTGAAAGTGCAGCCAAAGATGCTTACACATTTCTGATTAATTGGTTTGAGAGGTTCTCTCAATACAAGCACAGGCCATTTTACCTTGCTGGAGAAAGCTATGCAGGTGGTTAATTAGTTAATTGCTCATCACCAACTAATGCTTGACAAATTTGCTTGCATTAATTAATACTTTGCTAATCCACATTCAGGTCATTACATTCCTGAGCTGTCAAAAATTATAGCCAAGAGAAATAAGGGAGTCAAGAATCCTGTCATTAATTTCATTGGTTTCTTGGTATGTGAACCTGTCGTATAAACAACATTAAAATTGGTCCAAAACTACCTTGACATGACATGCAAACTTAAATGTTTATTTTTTTATTTTTTTATTACAGTTAGGGAATCCTCTTATAGATGATCATCATGATAACATTGGCACGCATGAGTTCTGGTGGAACCATGGATTGATATCGGATTCCACTTATAAAGATTTAAAGAAGTTCTGCCCAAAAAATACGTTCTTGTTCCCGAAAAATGGATGTAACCGTGCTTTAGAGAGGGCATATTCTGAGTTCGGAGATATCAATCCTTATAGCATTTACAGCCCTCCTTGCAACGAAATCAGTACTCCTAGACACAATCTGAATCATCCCCTGGTATATTTATATTCTTGGATCACTCAAAATCCCTTTTATTTTATTTTATTTTTTGTCACATTTTCCAAATATTGGTGCAACTTGTGATACTTTGTTTGTTCTAATGAGTTACTGGCTTTTGTTTATTGGAATTTAGCCATGGAAATTCAGAGGAAATGATGAGTGTGTGGTGATGTACACAAAAAGATACATGAACCGTCCAAATGTGCAAAAGGCTCTTCATGCCAATATTACTAGGATTCCTCATCCTTGGGCCACTTGCAGTTCAATTGTTAGGAGAAATTGGAGTGATTTTCCTAAATCCATGCTGCCAATCTTCAAAAAACTTATAGCTGCTGGTATAAGAATATGGGTTTTCAGGTAAGATTAATTCCATTCTAGTTAATTAATCCTCTTGAAAAAATTTAGTTACAAGTCATTCATTTTGAAAATATGCATGAAAACTTGTCATAAAATCAGTAAAAAAATTCTCCATATTGATATTTGTTCTACCAACAGCGGTGATACAGATGCAGTTTTGCCACTAACTGCAACCAGATACTCCATTGATGCTCTAAAGCTTGAGACCAACATAAGCTGGTATGCTTGGTATGATGGCCATCAACAGGTTAGCCATAAACAAAAGCTAAAGTGATGGTTTTTGTGTATATAGATTTTCCTATATCTAATATTCTTTAAGAACTAAGAATTTTCTGTTGGTATTTGTGATTCTTTTTTCATGGATTGTTTGTTTAGGTTGGTGGCTGGAGCCAAGTTTACAAAGGCTTGACCTATGTGACAGTAAGGGGAGCAGGGCATGAGGTGCCTTTAACTCAGCCCCGACTTGCTTTGTTGCTATTTAGGCAATTTCTGAAAAATGAACCCATGCCAGCAGCTTCGTCTTAGAACTTCACTGTTTATTAATCTTTAGGTTACTAGCAACTTATAGAATGTTTTTATTTTTCATTTCAAATCATTATTTTGTACGTTGTATTACAACAAGGCGAATGAAGATTACTATATTTTTTAAAAAATAAATTATTTTCCGCTGATTTTTTTTTCTTGTTTCGCTAATTGGCTATAAAGCATTTTAAATTATTAGTTAAAAGAAAAATGATCCCTTGGTTTTTATTTTTTTATTAAGTTCTATCATCTAGTTAATCAATTTCAAACAATGTAAGAGATATGTGAAGCCGTTAAAATAACGATACATGTCATAAAAACTTTAAAAACATGATACATGTCGTTATTTTGTAATTCTAAATATTTCTCACGTGCATCCGATATAGTTTGAAATTGATCAATGATACAAAATAACTTAATTACAACAAAAGAATAGAGACTCGAATAAAAAAATAAAAATTTCTCTTGTTTGACCAATGGCACAGAATATTCGATTAATTATTATTATTATTATGGTTTTAGGATTAGGTGAATCAACTTTTATGCAACGAAAGCTAAATTCAATTTTTCGTTCTAGTAAAAAATAATTTAAGCCATCAGAACTAGGGAAATTCATAAAATTGCTAGCTATATTGTATTCTTAATTCAATATATGCTCTTGCATATGCATCAATATTATACATTTGGAGCTAGGAATTCCACGTCCGGTGGCCTTATATAATTTTAAAGGTGCCAAAATCAATGAGGTCAGTAAGGCAGTTTGATTAAACAAATTAAAAGGAGAAATCGACAAAACTTACAAATCTTTGCAGCCTCAACATCTTCCCACTTCTTTCTTTCTATGCGGCTAAGAATGAAAAAAAGAACATTAAAAGTCTCTTGTTCTTTTCGATTAGTACTTAACATTTATGAATGATGCAACAATTTCCTAGTTATTTTCTGTCATTATTGAGCAATGGATAAGAAACTTGGTGGAAATTCTTTGCCATTAAGAAATTAGATTGTCTAGTGGAGCCGTAAAGAGAATCAAAGATGACACTAAAACAAAGATTTGTGGAGATAAGGAAGAAGCATAATTATATTCTATGATCCTCTCAACCGGAGATAATTCAGGTTCTGATCATGCTTTAAAAGAAAGCTAAAAGGGGTCCATGCCCTAAAAGCAACTCACTGTGCTACAGGCTTGTAATTACCTAAAAACCATCTATTCTTTGCTTGCCTTGGTCAATTGCGTTGTGGATTGATGCCTTCCTTTTCCTTATTCTCTGAGAATATTTGCGTTGTGGACTCATTTCTTACTCTGAACGAGCTTCCGATGTCAAATCGGTACATGTAAAAGCAATGGAGAGCAACCATGCAATTTTATCACTAGTTGGCTTCGGTATTAAGCTGCACAACAAACTAAATATATTTATTTTATTTTAATAACATATATTATATTATCAGTTAATTAAAATATATTAAATAAAAAATAAAATTTTATAATTTTTAATCAAAATTTTGTATTCAATTTTTTTTTGTATGTTTTAATAAATTTTGTAAAAAAAATATAAATTGTTATTTTTTATGTATATTTTCTTAAATAAAAAACATATAATCTAAATATAAAATTTAAAAAAAAAACTTTAATATTTTTTTTCATATAATTGCATGGAAGAAATAAAAAAAATTAATATAAAAACTCGTATAAAAAATAACAAATTAATCTTTTTTATTGTTATTTAATACTCATGATAAGATTATTTTTTTTGAAAATATATACATTTGATTTATATATTTATTTATAAAATAATATATAATATTAGCATAAAAAGTTGTATTTGAATTATTAAACAGTTCTTCTAAAATATTATTTCAAATCATTTATTTGAAAGAGTTTAATTTTAAAATATTAAAATAATAATAATAATAGGATAAGATTGGTGTTATGTGTGTAGATATATGTATAGTTAATTTTCAATAAAATTAATGATCCTAATTTTTTTATACACCATGAGTGTATTCGGTAGATCAAAGTGTGTAGTATAAATAAAAAAATATATATTTTTTAAAATAGTTGTAAAAAATATACTCGAAGTTAAGTGAATGCAATAAAAACAACTAAAAATTACATTGATTTCGATAAAATTTGATTATATAAAGAATAAGCAAATAAAAACAACTAAAAAAAACTTTTTCAAAAATTCATACATTGATAAAATAAATCATATTTTTTAATAAATAAAATTACATAATATATATATAAGAAAAATTTAGAAACTAAAATGCAATATTTTCAAAACTTCTATATCAAATACCTAAACATAGGTCTAAAATTACAAAAATACTATATCAAATGCTTAAATAAAGCTTAAAAATCAAAATAATGCCATTTAATATCATAATATTAAATGAATAGTGCTTGGGAGTGTAGATGAATAGTATGTAAACAGTAAAATGAGTGTGGATGAATAGTAAGTGAATAATAACCACTTCAAATCTTTTAGGTTTTCTTATAACAATGTAATATTTTGATTTTGTTAATGATTTAGTCTTTTTATTAGATTAATAATTTTTTCTCAAATTGTCCTTCATTTAATGATTTATTTCTCTTCCTCATCTACCCATTCTCGCTCTTTTCAATCAAAAACCAATTAAAGAGTAATTCAAGAATAAAAATCACTAATTTAACATAAAACTAATGAATAGATTAAGTTATTGACAGAATTAAAAAAAAAATTATTTTTTTAAAATAAGATAGTTAATTAATCATTTCTCTAAACAAAAAGGACTAATTTATAATTTACTCCATAATGTCCACAACTCTAAATGGAGCATAGATTGGTTAAAAATTACAATTTGTGTTTGTATTTGGAACTCAATATTCATACGCGTGATATTGTGAAACCTGTAATTTTAAACTTGCCATGGTCAATTTTTTGGTATCTAGTGTGAACGTAGTTTCATGTATTCCTATTATTTAAATCATGAAATTATATTAGAAAAAAAAAACATTGAAAAATTGAAATGAATATAATTTCTCTTTTTCCAAGTATGTTCTAAGAATTTTGGGTTGCGTTAACCATGGCCTGCCCAATTTTATACCTTGGCCAAATCCTAGCAAATTGTAACTCAAGACTGGTTATATGAATCTCAATACTGTATGCTTGCAGGGCAGATTGGTCAATTTAAATGCTTGACGAAGTTACTTGCTTACTAAGACGTATAATTAAGACATTCTACATACATCACATAAATTCTTTTTGAATACCCTAATACAGAAAAAGCAAATAGAGCAAAGGTTATAAACATTTTGAATTCTTGAATCTTGCAGGAACATAAAATAAAGTAAAGCATTGCCACCCATTAAAAGTGATAAAAAAAAGCTGAAGGAAGACAGCATATAACAAGAAAAGAAGCATCATAATAAAGAGAAAGAGAGAACACTAATAGAAACAGAGCAAAAGAGGGAGAGAGAAACAGAGGTTTGGGTTTAGTACTATGGTCTAGAGATTTTAAGCCAAAGAGATGTATAGGTTTAGCAATACAGTAATTGGTTTCTTAAATCTTTTCACTCTCTTAGCATCTATACCAATAATTGGTGGAGGTTTATGGATGGCAAGGAGTAGCACAAGCTGTGAAAGTTTCCTTCAAACCCCACTTCTTGTTGTAGGCTTCGTTGTGCTTATAATTTCACTAGCTGGCTTCATTGGTGCATGTTTTCATGTAGCATGGGCACTTTGGGTCTACTTGGTAGTCATGTTATTCCTTATTGCAACCTTAATGGGTTTGACTATATTTGGCTTCGTTGTCACCAGCCAAGGTGGTGGTGTGGAAGTGCCTGGTAGGGCTTATAAGGAGTACAGGCTCCAAGACTATTCTCCATGGTTAAGGAATAGAGTTAAAGATCCTGATTATTGGAGAACAATTAGGAGTTGCATATTGGGTTCCAAGGCTTGTGAAAAACTTGTCTCTTGGACTCCTCTTGATTATCTAGAGAAAGACATGTCTCCCATACAGGTATAATTAATATTGTTAATTTTATTAATCTTGTTCTCTCTTGAATTTTTGGCCTTATACGGTTGTTTTTCTTGATTTTTGGTGCAGTCTGGATGTTGTAAGCCACCAACTTCATGTAACTACAACTCGGCAACTGTGGTGCCCCAAGACCAGGATTGCTATAGGTGGAATAATGCCCCAACTTTACTGTGCTACGAGTGTGATTCATGTAAAGCTGGAGTTCTTGAAGATGTTAGAAGGGATTGGCACAAGCTTTCAGTTCTTAATATTGTGGTGCTTGTATTTCTGATTGGAATTTATTCCATTGGATGTTGTGCTTTCCGAAATACAAGAAGGGCTGAAACTGATTACCCCTATGGCGAAAACCGGATGACCAAAGTCCGACCCAGATGGGACTATTACTGGTAAGTGAAAAGTTTTAGATTCTTTATTTTATTTTGAGGTAATATTCATGTGAAGATATTTCAATTAATTAATATTTCATATAGCTTACAAAATTATGGTGATTGTGTGAGACACAAAGCCCAATATAACGCATACTCAGTAATTTAATCATGGTTGAAATTTTGAATGGTGAAATTATGACAAAAAAATAGAAAAAACTGTTTTTTAGTAAAATAAAAGAACTTAGGAGGAGACTATTAATGATTTGAGAAAACGTAGGTGCTTAATTTAAAAAACAAATTTTCATGTTTTTTTTTTTCATATATATATTTTGCTCCAAATTTTCATTTTGATACGCTATCACTTCATTGGTCTCGCTCTATCTCAAGGCTACAATTAGGCCCGCAATGATGGGCCCAGGTAAAAACCCCCCATCGCTAAGTCATGGGCTCATGCTTGTGGTTTCCTTCTTTACAGGTGGAGATGGTGGCGGGACAAGAGAGAACAACTTTACTAGCTGAAGTGGCGATGATCTTTCGGAAATTTTCTGCTTATGTTATTCGGTGCTCTAAAGTTGGGATAGTTCAGTTGTTTTTCAGTGTATGGGACATCTTGAAAGTTTCAAGGTCCCCTTTCACAGTCTTTTACAGAGTCTTCTTGGTTGTTGTTTTTTTCTCTTCCTGTACAAAGATGGATTTACCTTTATTTTCAAAGATCACCGCAGCATCTTTCTTTTACTTTTCTGCCGTTTTGTATTATGCAGGTTTAAATACATTAAGGGTTCAATTATATACCAACTAAGCTATCCTTATATTCACCAACTTTCGTGATCTTGAAATATTAATTTTCTTTTCAAGTATATTACATTAATCACTCTGAAAATTTTAACGTTAGAAGGTCAGCTTGTAATGATAAAACATAAACTAGGATTAGCAAACCCAATTTCTAAAATAAGCATTTTTTTTTTTGCAGTGCATAAATCCGCAAAGGTAGTTGTACACAGAATTGCTAATGAGACATTAGTCGATGATAAAAGGGGGAAAATGATAAATCCGCAAAGGCCTCGAGGTTGAGGCTTTAAAAGACTAAGAACATTCAGGTTCCAATTCCTCCTTTCTCGAACTGAGTTCTGGTTTATAATTCCTTTCCTAGAGGAATATGATGGCTCAACAAATCCCATACGCATAACCAAAATTGTTGAAATGATGAAGAGCAGTGGAAGCAGTATCAATCTCAAGTTTGGTCCCAAAATTTCCAACTTGTCCATTATCATCTGCAGCCCAAAAGGGCAAGGAACAGGTTGAGTTGACTAAAATGTTGTTCACTTGTTTTGCTACCTGCAACTTTAGCTCCTCCAATGCGTCCCTTAATTGTTCAAGTTCATGCAACTCAAGTTCTTCAATGGGAGCTTCCCAAAAACATTGGCTTCTAGTGCTTTTCCTCGTTTTGTCAAGTACTTCTCCATATTTTTTTCGGCCTCTAATTGATTAAGAATCTGAGTTAACTGCATATTATGCTCACAAACATTAGCATTTCGCTGGGTTTCGATGAGTTGGTGCATGCCGGAACTCGAAGGAGGAGGGTTTCCAGTAAGAAACCGATCCATGATAGAATCAACATTAGGGTGGCCAAAGGAAAAGGCCTTCTGTGCTGGGGAGAAAACTATCATTGCTATATCTACTCCACAAAGCGTGCTGAGTTCACTAGCCTTCTTGAAAAGACCAGCACGTCGTTTGGAGAAGGTGACTTGTAGATGACTCTTCTTGGATATTTTTTCAATCTTAATCTTTTGGCGACCCATGCTAGGCTTCTTGTTCACCATTGCAGAAATGTGTGTATATATATATATATATATCCAAGAAACAAAAATGCACAAATACCAAATACTTGTTCTAATGTGTTGGTGGGAAAACTATACAATGGGGTATTTATAGGGTAAAACATTCCCTCCAAGCTCTTATTTATCATTTGGATTGTCTTAATCCCCTATTATTTTATATGATCAACCCCAAAATCTGGAGGTTATGTAATCTTATGAGTTAATTCTCCATTTACCACTAAGGAACTAATTAATTAAATGCAGCCATTAGTTGGCAATTAAGAAACAATTTGGTTTTTGTAGGTTACAAAGTTAGAGTTATCATTTTTCTTGAGATTCGATACGTAGGTTACTTGTATCTATACTTATATACAATGACATATTCTTTTATTTTGTTATCCATAGTAATTAAGATTGGTAATGGCACTGATTAATCTAATTAATACTGTATATATTATCTTTGTTCTGTGCATACCTAATTTTTTATTTTTTTTTCATAGGTTAGTAAATTAATATTTTGGGTGAGTTGGGTTTGGACCTGGTCCGTTTAAAATGAAAATAGGCTTGCTTGCTGAAAGAAAAGACTGACGGGCAAATGGAACATGGACCCCGTCTAGGTGAGCCCATATCTGTTAGTATGGCTTTCTGATCAGCAATGCTGTCTTTGGTTTGTACTGGAAAAGGGGGAAGATGGGGAGCATGGCAGAACAACTGTATCAGCTCAATCTATCAAAAATTTCTCTGCTCATGTTTTTTGGTGCTATATAAAGATGGGACAGTTCAGGTTTTCTCCTTTTCTTGAGTTTATTTGAAGACTAGAGAGTCCTACTCGGTTGCTTGTTGCTTTGTTTGTATAGAGATGAATTAATATTTTATTTTCCAAACATATATCATACTGGTTTATTTTACTTTGCCTAGAATCGCCAAAGAGATATTAGTCCAATATTATTAGGAAAGAAAATAAAAATTCAAGGTTAAGGGATTGAGGTCTTGAAAGAACAAAAATACGGAGGTTCGAATTGCTCGTTTCTTAAATATATAAAACATAAAAAGAAAAAATCATGACCTTTTTTTTTTTTTAGGGGAAAAACAAAACCCAAGTTAGTCAAATGAGCTGCCTCCCGGTGGTAGGTTGCCTTTTGTTTTGACTTAATTATATATGCACACATACTCTAGACGATCATTCCACGTGGATAGACATAAAAACACATGGATATAATTTAATAAAAGAAAATATATAAAAGAAAAAAACTGCACTAAATTGAATATTAAATAAAATTTATTAAAAAAAAATTAAGTAAACGAGAATAGAAAAAGCCTATCTTAGTGTTAAGAAAATATGAACAACGATCAATTTTTATCATTAAAAAATCCTTAGAAGGTCTAGAAGAAGAAAAAGTGTCCCTAAAGTTTATCAAAAAGCTTGAGATTTAAGATATATATATATATGAAAAAGTTCCTTATCCTTAACCTATATATATTGCACAATAATTTTTATAAATTAATAGAATTTATATAAAAATATGTGATTATGGATGGAGATTGAACTTGGTCAACGAGAGAAAATTTAATTATCAATTGATCAGATGATTCATTGGTGTTTCTTCTTTTTTTATTGATCGGATGATTATCTGATGTTTTTTTTCATATATATTTTAATGTCGAAATTCACAATAATTATGTGATGATCACCTGCTTAGGACTCAACGCATTGACATATCCATACTTTTTTTAATTTTTGGATATATATATCACTGAATTATTAACGCGATTTCCTAACAATTTCAGCTGATACGTGTGGTTTGATATTGGTTTTGGCCTGTCAAAGAAAGAAGCGCATAGGACTACCTAATTAGCACATCATGACATAACATCATCACAGAAGAAATTCAAGCTATGTATATGAATTCTGGTACTTTCAGTATAAGGAATACCATGACCTGTTACCCTTCTTTTGGTTTCTTTGTAAAAGTGGACCTTTTTTTTTTTTTTGTACTTAATTATTTACGCATAATTGAAGTTGTTTTCTTTCTTTCTTTCTTTTTTCTTCATTTAAAATTCATATTCAAAATAGGGCACACAAGATGAGGGATTGATTTCTCTGTTTCATACGGTAAAGTCACAAAAAGAAATCCAACAATGAGATGGCCAGTCGTTGTAGATTAGCGAAGTTTCACTTTCAAATGGCTATTAATCAAAGCATAAACTATTTTACGTTCAAACAGGCAGACTTGGTCTGCATTATTAGCCATGAGAAGGCATAGAGATGTTGCCAATTTTTAGGTCATATCAGAAGATATCATGATAAGAACCTGTTATTTTAGCTTTAGGTTTCTTTCTAAAACAAGAATTTCTTCCATAACATCACGTAATCTTTTATGGACTCAAGTCATATATTATTCAACAAAGTTTCAGAAGATCCTTGATCTCATGTGTCTTTTTCTAGGTTCCTTTCCTCTGAATTTGTAATCAAAACAACTTACTCCTTTAATTGCTTGCCCAACTTGTCCTTGCATCGTGGAAGGTAGCTGGCGGGTCGTTAATTGGTCCTTTCGGACACCTACAAACGTCGTTTTCAAGTGTGATTTATGTTCCCATGCACTTGTACGCTTCTATAAACTGACTTTTACAACTCCCTCCCTCTCTCATCACGAACCTTTAGAAGTTTGTGATAAATAAAAGATATACTTTCATTTTATTTTCTTTCATGTTCCAGCATCTTCCCCAAATTTAAAATATTAAATGAAATGACTTAATATATGATACAAATGATAATGGCTTAGTTACCTTTTTTTTCTCTCTCTTAATTTGAATTATTGAATTCATAATCAATAATGAGAATTGGTTTAATGATAATTTTTTTTTTACTCTTCAATTATTGGATCTGTGATATATTGAGTCGTGTATTATTAATTTAGTCAATTTTATCCTTAAATTATTATATTTTAAGTAAATATTGTCTTGCGGTATGATTAATTTGATTGTTATTATTGACTAAAACTTTTTAAAAAAATTAATTTTTTGTATTTTAAGCTGATTTTTCCCTTGTACTAATAAAAAATCAATTTACTTTCAGAAATAATTTTTTTTGAGATTATGAAATATTTTTAAATTTTTATTGAACACAAAACATTTATAAAATTATAAAATAATAATAATAATAATAATTTAGAATGATTTCATTCGTTTTTATCTTGACACACACGCACACACACACACATATATATATATATCAGGTTAGTCTTATTATGATTTTCAAAACATTTACATACTCGAATCTAAAACTCCCTAACCAAGACCTAAAATAAGTTAATTTTTGGAACCAAGTATGAAAAGTATTTCGAGAACCATATTGAAATTATTTATTTAAACTCATATGACCTACTTAGAGCTTTTCAAAAAATTGAGATAATTTTAGCTTATTTTCTATTTTTCATGATTTATTAAATTTTTATTTTTCAAAAATAAAAACAGTAATTTCTTACTTAAATTTTTTTTTGTTAAAAGCGTATTAAATTTTCCTAAGCATTTACAAAAAAAATTAGTTCAATGTACCAAAAATTAATTTTAAAAAGAAACTTTTGTCAGTAATAACAATCAGATATAACTAAAGGACAATATTTGTTCATACAGATCAAAACAAAATTGACCAAATAAATAATATAAACCTTAATATGTCACAGCCTCAATAATTCAGGCACAACCGCGCCATTAAACCGATGAGAATTTGAATATGATTGGCTGTACTTCCTTATAAACGTGAAAGGACCTCAATTTAATCCAAATTCATTTTTTTAATGTTTATTTATTTACTTAGTTAGTTGAGATCAAGTTCCCATGAGCTTGATCACAAGTCAAAAACTTCTGTCTACGGCTATTGTGATCCGCAGCCAACAAGATTTGAAAAATCGCAAATTAGACACATGGAATGCAACAAGCTATTACGCGTTTCCTTTGAACAAAGCTTTTATTCAATTCAATTGCTAACGACTTATAATATTTTTATCGAATTGTCATTCTCTAGTTGAAGATATAACGAGTATTTGGAGATTCCCAAATACATAAATCCCAAGACTTAAGGAACGACATTTCATGTCTTTTAATTAAAAAGAATAATGTTAAATTCTTATATTCAGACAACCAGATGTATTTTCTCATTGCGTCGTATGTTATGATGTCCTGTATCAAGGGGCAAATATTTGGCATCCTTTGTCTTTATCGTACTTTTTTCTATTTTTTTGGCAGTAATTTGTTTTTGAATTAATTTTTATATAAATCACCAATAAATCCATCAGTTTTTAATTTAAGCCAACATTCGAATACGTTTTGTTTTTAATCGTTTTTAATCAATCACTGAATTGTTTTTTTAACCAAAACTTTGCAAATCAGATGCAACTTTTTCTATTAAAATATTAAGTCAGCAATCACAGACAAATCATATCCATTATCAATTGATTGTATTTCACTATCAATTTGGTTAAAAAATTAAGATGATAAGTAAGTAGTCTTGTTTTTCGTACTATCATTCTTGATTTAAATTTAAAGAAAAATTATTTAAAAAAAGAAAAGAGAAATTACGAGAAAATAATTGTTTTATAAATATCTTAATTTGAGTCTGGATAGGTTATTAAAATCAAGTCTATTATAAATCACAAAGTGTCGAAACTACATCGAATGTTTTAGGGGAAAAAAAACGCCGCAGGTTTTGTTTGATCACAGTCACCTCATCAGGCTCCTGAAAATGCGAGCATGAAGCTATTGGTGGGCTTCTTAATCACCATTGTAATTAATTGCCTTGAATTGTAAATTGAGATATTGTCTTCTTCTTTTTTCAACGGTGAGAGATGTGTTCCAGCGCAACACAATCCATCGAACCTGCCTAGCAAACATTATTGGGCTAGTCAACTCTCCTTGCATTAATAGCCATGACAGGACTCTGTACTACCGGGACCAGCACCCCTCTTCTAGGGCACTCGAAGCATCCCCATTCCCTAGTGGGGTGT